ATCAAATTTACTTGTGACTTCGCTGCCTCTACAGAATTTGCAATAATTATTGCACTATCAAACGTTAAAAATGGTTCACTTAGCAGCCTTTTAAGCGTAGCTTCATCGAAGCAACCACTTACAAATTGATCACACAAATTTTCATTTATGTCAGTAAATTTGCACTTGTCTGCCTGAGATTTAAGCCTCAAAACAAATTTTCCCACAGGCTCATTTTCTTTTTGTACAATCTTATGAAATAAATATCTTTCAAAGTGCTTATTTTTCATTGGATATAAATGGTTGGTTAAAACCTCTACCAAAAGTTTATATTTAAGGTCACTTGGCCTTCTGGGTACCAACAAATCGCGCAAAGTCTTATAAACATTAACATCAATAGACGTTAATAACACAGATACTTTGTCTGCTTCTAATGTTTTGTTCAATTTAAAACATTCTTCTAATTGTTCCAAATAACAATTTAGATCTTCGCCTTCACGAAACCTTGGAAAATTTGAATTAGTGGTGGCCATACTTACGTTAATTCTTCGTCGCCATTTGATACGTTTCTATTGATTGTTAACTATTAATGGTGAAAATTATTTTTATAAGAAATTGCACTTTAAATATATATATGCAGATAAATGAAAAGATACACTATTCTTAAGCAACTCTAATTAATTTATTAATCTTTTTACAAAACGATTATATGTAAATTGTTGTTTACAAGATGATGATCAATAACACAGAGTAGAGTAATAATATATCACAGATCAATTAGGAAACTACATTATTATTGAAGTGTCTCCACAAAAGGATCCTTTTATTTATCTTATATGTATTATATTGATATGACATCATGAACACCACCATCTGGGCTGGGCATGGATATCACTCAGGATGAGCCAGCTAATAATCAACACACAGTTAGGTAATCCTCTCTAGTTTATAAGACTGAATACCCCTATTGTACACCTTTCACATGTAATGATAATCAGAGTGAGTTATTATATCTACATATAATCTTTTTAAAAAACCAAAAGATTATATTTTTAGTGACATTAGGTAACAACACTGTTACCCATATGTAACATACCATTTCAATACTATATTTTGATTCAGTCATTTTTTTTAAATTATTGATTAGATTCCTTTATATAAACCATATTTTATTTCAAACTATCGGTCAATATCACATGTGTACCATATTTTCATATAGTTTGACACGCTCATGCCCATATGGCCACAATTGCCTATTTCTTGATCTTCCAGCAAGCTTCAAAGATCAGCTTTTTGGTCACAGGGGTACAGCTTGCACCATGATATTAAGGACCAAAGGCATGAAACATGTAGTGGGTTAGGTTTTCTTAAATCATCAAGAAAGTGTATTTGGCATATTCTTGAGTAACGGAAAATCAATGGTCCTTGATCATTGGCCTCTGATTCCTGCAAAAGCCCAACCCACCACCAATGAGTGCAAGTAACCAAATGGGATCTGGCATACTTGTAAATGCAAAAGTGAAAACTGCTGTTTACATATTTACATTGCCGTCGAGGTAAATCCGGAAAATTGGACACAGATATTAAAATTCTTATAACACAAACAAAAATTATTTATTTCATACACAACTTTGCACTATTATAGAAAATTTAATTTAAAAATAAATTATTCTATATAGCCGCCGTTTGCTGCCACTACTTGCTCAAGCCGTTACAGGAACTGACTGCATGTATGTTTCACCTCCTTCCTGTACATGTTGGTCACCACTTCAGTAATTGAGGCTGTCAGTACGTCCTTGGTATTGTGAAATTTTGCATTCATCTTTTCCTCAACTGCGCCTCAAAATTAGTAATCGAGAGGATTGAAGTCTGGGCTGGAGGGTGGTCACAAAAGTCCAGTGGTAGGGAACATCACTGTAAAGACACGCTTGGGTTTTTCTCGACTTGTGGGCTGGCACTGAGTCCTGCTGGAAGACGTAATCTCTTCTGGCAGCCACCATGTCTATCCAGGGCTTGACCACCGTCTCCAAGACATAAATGAATCCATCGGCGTTGATTCTGAGGCCTTCAAAGAAATAAGGTGACATAATATCCCCTTCACTGCTGATAACCCCAAGGACCACTGCTGGACATTTGGTGTGCATAACAATGGGCACTTCTGAAGTATCTTGACATATCAACCTGTCATTTTGCCGATTAAATATTTTGTCCCGTATAAAATTATTTTACTCCGAAAAGAACCTCAGGTATCCAGCTCTGTCGTGTTTGATATCATTCAACAATCCCTGACACTTCAGTTTTCAGTTAGCTTTATATCTTTCCATCAAAAAATCATGGTTCTGTAAAACAATGGATTTGTAGCCTAGGTCTTCATGCACCGCCAAACTGGTAGTTGACCTTGCTACCCCAATGTCCTTCACTAACTTAGCTTTGCTGCGTCCAGGATCCGCGTCCATCTTCCCTTTCAGTGCGTAACAAAATCGGACATTATTTTCATATTTGATCATTTGCTGTGGCTTGCTAGCTCAGAGGATACTTCATCCGGTTTGTCTGCTTCTCAAAACTTCTTCGAAATTTCATAAACTTGAGGTTTTTTTTTGCACCAAAGCCACTAAAATATCTCCTTTGGTGAATTTACAGCATGAAGGGACTCAAGGATCTTCTGTCTTGTTCCTGGCTCATGTTCATGCTTGTTTGAAGGTGTCTATATGGACGGTATGAACTACAAGTTAGCTAATCGCCAGTATGCACTCAACAACCGCTTGAGGGCAGTTAAAAACAAATTCCGGATCTACCTAAGCAGCACTGTAGAATTGTTATAAGTTTATCCTGCTGCCAACCATAACAGATGATTTTGGAACCCTACAATGGCCGTAGTATGCAGACAATGCACTGATGCAATACACCAAGTTACTGTACTCCACCAAGGTTGTTAAACAAAGTGAGATAGCCAGGGAAGATAAGAGAAATTAAATAAAGGGCAAACATAAGTCGGCAGGTGCTGAATTGAGATGAATTTTCCTTTTTTGTTAAAAAAATAAAAAATACTTAATTTTTTTTTACTTTTGATACCTTTTGAGTCAAAATTAAGAGAGAATATGGCAATATCAAATCAACTAGCCACAATTGTACACCAGAGATGGCATAGTGCGATCAAATGGGCCGCTGTACAAGCAAATTAACTGACGGCTCGTGCTGTCGAATCTCCAAAACCATTTTCCCTCTGTTGTGGGGTTACAGAGAAAGGGGGGATCACATACACAGAGCATGTCGGGAAACGGAAATTACACAGCAGCACATACACCAGGATGTATCTACAAGCATAGGCTAATAACTAGTGTCAATCATGAGTGAGGAATCTGAGTCATTGGAGTGGTCAGATTCCTATGCGCGGATGTGTGGTTTGAGTCTATTCGAGGCCTTTAAGAACTCTTGACAAATACGCCAAGTGGCCCTGTTAAAGTTGAAGTCTCTAAGTGACCTTGGTCTACTGCACAGATGGAGAGGAGGCGGAGTCTAAAGGCACAAAGATGCTACAATTTAGCACTGATATGCTTCAAATTTTTGTTCCTGTTAGCGTCATGGTAGGGGCTGGAAGGATTGTCGATAACATCTATCCTGTGGGTCTGTCCATATATGTCCTAATAGCAGTCCAACCATGATGTACATAATGTGCTCCTACATTTTGTCCAGAAGACCAAATGGACTAAGGCCAAAGCAGATGTGGACAGTGGGGCCAGAGAGAGGAATCTACTCTCCCACGTGTCATGCCTGTAGATTTTTATTTGGCAAATGACAGAGGAGCGAAGCTGTATCAACTTGGAAGAGCAGATTCCGCTTCCTGTTTAACGAGTGTGTCCGCAATATCATTACCCACGATCCCATTGTGACCTTTGATCCATTGTATGGTAAACCTGTTCCCGTTGTGATTCAATTGCTAAATCATCAACATAGTTCTTCTGATAAGGTGTTTACCAGTTCTAGAGTTCAAAACTGACTTCACGACTGAGAGGTTGTTCAGGAGAAATCCAACAGTTAAATGGTTTGACAAGCTAGTGAGTTTTTCAAGTGCCTTAACCAATGAGGGCAAAACATTCGCACAGTCCAGGGGCACAGTCGAGACCTGATATCCTCTACATGCCGACACCATTGTTACGCCAGATTGGAGCTTTACAGAGTAATTGGCCTTTATTTCCTCTTTATTGGCATTGTATGTGTTTCTCAATCGGGTTTCCATATTAAAGTAGAATTTATAAAAAAACAAGTGTACAGAATATCAGACCTCTAAATTATCATGGTGTCCGTGTGGTAGGTATAATACTTAAGAGTAGAATTTTTGCATATTTACTTTTGAACAAAGAAAATAGGTGAAGCTCTTTTCTGACATAAGGAGCGAATAGCATTCTAAAATCAATGTACAGTTAAACCTGTCTATAGCGCCCCCTTTCGGGACTCACCAAAATAGGGTGCCATAGAGAGGTGGTGCTATAGACAGGTCACTTTCAATGTAAATCGCATCGTACTACGTATTTAAAATCGGGAGCTATAGAGAGGGAGGCGCTATTCAGAGGGGGCGCTATAGACAGGTTTAACTGTATATATTTACATCTATTTACTGGTCAAATGATCATAGCAACGCCCGAGTTTACCCAAAAGCATTTTCCCTGATTGCTTATGTATTTGTTTTTGTTGTTTTTAAATAAAATACTCACAAGGTAATAAGACCAAATTCAACTAAATAAATAGTGTGGGATATTTCGGTAACAGCGTTGTTATCTAAACATCACACACTATTTATTTGGATTTGGTCTTATTACCTTGTGTTTATAATCTACTAGACGAATGGCCCGGGCAACGCCCGGGTTTTACCCGAGTGCGTATATATTTTAAAAATGTTTTAATTAAAATACTATTCGTTACAATTATAAATTGGCGCCGTGGATGTCTCTCTTGTGAAACGTCCCGCCCCAAACTGTGTGTGTCTTGAAAATATGAAAATAAAAATGTGAACGGAAAAATATGTCCAGGGTAGCCTAGTGGTTGTGGCATCTGCCCGGTAAGCGGAAGGTCGTGGGTTCGATTCCCATCCCTTGACACTTTTTTTATTTTATCCATTCTGACCAAAATCTATCCGTGAACTTCACACAGTGAACTTCACACAGAGAGAATAAGGCAATTATATAAGTAGATAATCCAAATTGTGCCTTATCACACACTATTTTTTTATTTGGCCGTATTACCTTGTGTTTATAATCTATGACGTAATGCCGGCGGCGCGCGCCCGTTGGCTGCCGGCGAGCACGTGACCTCCCTGTGCGCGCGCATCCGTGACAGAACCGGCCGGCCCCTGACGGTCGTGACTATATATATAATGGATGGATAATAATAATAATATAATAATAATAATAAAATAATAATAATAATAATTATTATTATTATTATCATTAGATAATGATAATGATCATAATGATGATGCGCGCGCATCCGTGACAGAACCCATGACGGTCGTGACTATATATGTTGATAATCCAAATTGTGCCTTATCTTAAATAAAATACTATTTTTCATAAATATAAATTTCATAAACCTGCGTCACACCCGGGATAAATATTCAGGTCCAACCTAGAACCTTCGTGGAAAATTACGAGGAAAAATAATTTCAATAATCAGGATATATATTTATCATTCAATTATAAAGCAAGCTCTCCAAAGGACGCCAAATGAAAAATGCGAGAAAATAAAATCCAATAATTATATATTTTTAAATAAAAACATATATACACCTATCCCCCGATTTACACGGTAGATACGTTCCCGAGAAAAACGTGTAAATCGAAAATTAAAAATTTTCAAGTCAAAACCGTGTAAATCGAAAAGTTTGCAGAAAATGCATAATTTTGCTATTTAACAGTTGTGATTTTTTTCAATATTTTTAGGTGTACACAGAAATAAAAATAAAATGCATTGACAGGTTAAAATATGTAATATATTACGGAAACACTATTTTTTTATATAATTACATACATACATAAACAGAAGAACAAAAAATAAAACCAAAGGTGTTTTATTATCCTTCATCACTGTCAGAAATTACTCTCATTCTTTTTTTCGGATTTGAATATTCGAATGCACTTTCATCACTCGAAGTTATTTGTGCCGATTCGATGTTTGAAGCAGAAATATTTACATTATGAGAGATGGTAATAAAATCGGTTATTAACAATTGCTTCGAATTTTTTGTAAGATCTTTGTAAACTTCTTCATATTGAGCCAAGCAGCGATTTATGTCACGTTGGAATCGTAAAGCCCTTTCAACGTTTGTGTCATTTTGCATAAAATGATTACCCAGCTTTCTTCCCAATGCGAGTCCTTCGCGGATGACTTTAGCAGTGAATGTTACTGGTACTAATTCCTCTTCATCAGATTTGTCAGACTCACTTTCGCAAACTAAGTTAACTAAATCATCCTCACTTAGTTCTTTACCAGCAATTAACTCTGCGATATGCGTTATGCGATCTTTTGCTGCTTTATGACCACTAGCCGATTTATAAAATTTTGAGATATAAGTCCTTTCAGGCATTTTTTTCCAGAATAACCCTGACTCATCAGCATTGAAAACTTGATCAGGGGTGTATGAATTGTCGTTAATAATTTCTGCAAAATTTGCTGGATATTCATGGGCTGCATCTACGTCGCCAGAAGCCAGCTCACCTTTTAATTTTAAGCTCTGTGTAAAGGATGTCTTATTTTAAATCTTTCAAACCAGCCATGACTTGCCAAAAAATTTGGCTTCTTTTCAGTTGAAGAAGAAAATCGCAATTACTCTACAATTTTTTCGCAAATTCGTAATGCTTTATTTGTTATAGCGCTCGTATCAATGGGTACTCTTTTTTTTGTTTGATCTTCTATCCAAAGCATTAACGCTTGCTCCATTTTTTCCATTGCGATATTTCTGGTGTATGATGTTGTGCCCATACTCGTTGTATTGCCAGCTGCAACACTCTTTCTAATTGTGTTTTCATTTGTTCTAATAGTTCTTATTGTAGCTTCGTTCATGCTATAAGATTTTGCAACATCTACTACTCTATCTCCCTTTCGTAAGCTATCCAAAATTTCGATTTTAGTTTCTAAAGAAATAACTTTTCTTTTAACTTCTTTCTTCATTATAAGCCTATATATATATATTTAATTTATGTTAATTTGGCTGTGATTAAAGTAAAAATCAGAGGGAAAAATGCGGAAAATTTTGGAGGGAAGATTAAAAATTTTATTTTTAAAAAATTATTTTATACTATAATTTTTATTCAAAATGTTTATCTTTTTTTATTTTAATTAAACCTATTTGGTAAATCACCATCATTTCCCTCCAAAATATCCCGCATTTTTTCCCTCTGAATTTTACTTTAATCACAGCTGTTAATTTATAATAATCTAAATTATGCACTCACTTGTAATTTACGAATATGGAAAATTAAATCTTTCTGAAACTGTGAAACTCTCACTAAAATACAATTTTCCGTAGATAAAACTTTAATTTTATGCGTAGAAATACAGACACAGTGTGCGTGTGCAGCAAGTCAGCACATAAGCTCGGGATTCCTCGTGAGATGTGTACACAGCGCATGTGTTCAATCACAGTAGCATTTAGTATAGTGCGATAAAAAAAAACTTATTTAGAAAACCGTGTAAAAGCGAAAACGTGTAAAACATGTACCGTGTAAATCGGGGGATAGGTGTATTTTTATAGGAAATTAGATTATGCTAAATACAGTAGAACCTCCCTGTAAAGGTCACCTAATTGCAGAGCTAAAGTTTCCTTTGGGAAGAGGTGTCCACTTACCGTAGAGTTGCTAAATAGCAAAAATGGTGATTTTCAAACGGAAACTATCCTTTGTAGAGAGGTCTCCTCTATCGCGAGGTTCTTTTATGGAGGTTCTACTGTATAGGTTTATTGTAAGAATACATTTTTTTTAAACTCAAATTAAAATAGTAAAATAATAGAGCATATATAATAATATAATAATATATATATATATGTTTATTATTATCAAAGGCTGTATTTGCTCTTTTCTACAAACCTATCTCTTCGCTTATTCTTTTTTTACCCAGCTCATGACGCGTAACAGCCGATGTTTTGCTGGAGTTCTTTTTTTTTATTTTTCACTCTTATATTCTATCTACTTATTATATACAATACATGTATAATATATATATATAGAGAGAAGATACATAGTGTGATTAATAAATACCAGGAATGCTAAATATTTAAAGAAATACAAAAGTATAATAAAGTTTTATTTAAAACTAGCGGACGTACCCGGCTTCGCCCGGGTTTTACCCGAGTAAAGGTTTGTCTAACGACCATTTGTTAAAACAATTCTCATAAACTTATATAAAAAAAGATATATTTTGATAATTTGAAACTCGTAAATTTGAATCTTTCGATAAAGTGAACATTTTTTCCCGGTCCCTTGTCTCATCTTGTCTCAAATAAATTGCCGTGTCATCCTGAATTTTGTCTTTCCTTATTTTCTAAATTACAATATCATCGTTTTATCTAGTGAACATTTTTCCCGGTCCCTTGAAAAATACTCGATAACTAACTTTGACTTGTGCGCAATTAATATGTAGAAAATCTTACTTTTGATATATAATCTTTAAGATACTAAACTTAGTGATAATAAAACTTATAGATAAAAAAACTTGTTAACATCGTCGCAATGGGGGCGCTGCTTGCGAGTTAAATCTACAAATCTGCAAATAACTCTAAGGATATTCAAGATATTCAAGAATTATTTTTCAGAAACCTTCCCAGTACTATACTAAATAACTTCCCAAAGTTTCATGGCGTTCCAATAAGTGGTTAAGTCAGGCATAATGGACAGACAGACACACACACACATACATTCATTTATATATATATATATATATATATATTAAAAATAAAGAAGGCATCTCCCGACCACAAGCACATGTGCTTTTTAGATGGCAGAGCGCCATCTACTTGAGTAAAAATAAACTAAACGTTTAATTAGCTTACTCAGAGATATTTGGCCAACCCAATTTCTTGATAAATCAAGAAAAGCCATCCACGAACGCGTTTCGCGCTGTTGGCGCTCGTCAGCGTGGAGAATGCTGTAACCATTGCGACCAAAAATATTTTTTGGACCCAATGGCTTCCTTTGGTCGCAATGGTTACAGCCTTCTCCACCCCGACGAGCGCCAACAGCGCGAAACGCGTTCGTGGATGGCTTTACTTGATTTATCAAGAAATTGGGATGGCCAAATATCTCGGAGTAAGCTAAATAAACGTTTAGGTTATTTTTACTCCACTAGATGGCGCTCTGCCATCTAAAAAGCACAAGTGCTTGTGGTCAGGATATGCCTTCTTTATTTTTAATATCAACACCTGACCCACTTATCTTTTATTTTTTTCTATTGTTTTTTCATAAATATATATATATAGAAAAGTAAATAATGAAATAGTTACCTTCAAAGGTGCTAAGTCATTTATTAATAATGATAAATCCAAGGCTCATCACAGGTTATGACTCCTTTAAAGGCCTTAGAAACTGGTCCTGGGTAAGATTCAATGGGGTCTAAACAGATTTATTTCCGAGATTACATCATTTCTCGTGTTAAGTTTTGACACCCATTTTGAGCACACCTTTCGATAGCCAAGATCTGAAAGTAGTTTAAGAACACTTTTTTTAGAGATTGAAAAGTGTTTCCGTCGAATGATATGTTGGTATTGTCCGGTTATTCTTAACAATTTCCTCAACAAGAGCCAAAATTTGGGCTGTTGTGACGGCCTGGCCTCTGTTTTTCATGAAGATCAAAATCACCTTTCTGGAAGCGCTGAACCCATCTCTGTATAGTGCTTCTATCCAATGTTTCGTTTCCATAAATATGGTTGAAGTTTTGAGTGAATTGTTGTGGCTGAAAGCTCCATGACTCAGAAATATCTTCGATTAAAAATTTTGAAACTTCTTTCACAGTTGATTCCAAGATTGCTCTTGTTTCTGCATATCTAATAGTCCGTCAGCACAATCATCCATTTTTTCTATTTCTCGTAGATGGCAATGGACCAACGAAG